TTTAAAAAAAAAAATTATAACTAAAAAACCAAATGTAATCATTGTTTAAATTTTTTTATAACAACTAACTAAAATTTTTTTTAAGATAAAATCAACTGAAAATATATCTTTTTTATTTATAGTTAATTTCAAATTAGTCATAAAATTTTTGAATTGAAAAGTATATTGTTTAAAAAAAATGATTGTTATTGTTTAATCGAGTTAAGCACAAATTCAGGTACTCAATTCTACTTTTTTCACTGTTTAGGTACTAGATTGTTTTTGCTTTGCTTTTGGGTACTGAGTTAAGAATTCCGGCCAAAAAAATAATTCAGCCTAAGAATTCAGTACCTTTGGTTAAAGAATTCAGTACCTTGGTTAAATGAAAGTGGGCCCCACCCGATTAAAAAAATGTGCGGGTCAACCCTTTACTTTTTCCCCTTTCTTATTCTTTATTCCCCCTTTTTGCCCCTTAATTCTTTCCAATTCTGGAAATATTCGTTGCGCATAAGTCGAAGAACACGAGCAGCTACATTCGAATCTGGGGAAAACGACAGCGAAAGCCGCCATTTTTTTGAGGTATGCTTACTTACTCATGGTTTTTGTTGTTAATTTGATATAAATTTTGAATTTTTTGCCCAATTGATGATGGTAATTGCGACTTAGGATTTTGCGTTTTTTTGGGTTTTTTTTTTAATCGAAATCAAAATGTCGATTTCTTGTGTTTTTTATGTTAAATTTGTTGCTGTGTTGTTGTTTGTTGTTGTATTAAGCTTGTGTTGTTGGTGGATGTTGATTATTTATGCTCTAAGGTTTGATTTGTTGATCAGTTTTACGCACTAAAACAGGGGAGGTTTTTGTACACCTTGATATCCTTTGCATAGCCTTTCTGTTACAGTGGCAGCAGTCCATGATTTGAAGCTTACTGTTTCTGTTTTTCCAATTTGTGGCTGGTATACTGAAGAAGCAACAGCAGGGGAAGAACCTAGCAGTGTTTTGATTTTTTTTTTTTAAAAAATTTTATTTTTAAAAAATTTGGGAAAACCTTGTTGAAGAATTTGTGCCTAAATAGACATGGTGAATGAACCTGTTTTGATGATATTTGTTGCTGGTATACTGCTATAGTTTCTGTGTTGCTGTTTTTTTTATTATTATTGAAATTGAATCAGGGAAAATCATTTTGGATGAATTTTGGTTAAGAAAACATGGTGAATCTGCCCTACAGTGATGCTAGTGTTTTGCAGGTGTTTTCATGGCATTTTTTGGCCAAGTTCATGCCCCTTATGGTGAATCTGCCCTACATAATGGCTAGTTTCTGAGTCAAAGTTAAGAATTTTTTTTTTAAAATATTAATTTTTTAATTAGGTATGGTTAGTGATGAGTTAGTGGTGAGTTAGTTCACCTGAAAATCACTTTGAGTACCCAAAAGCAAAGCAAAAAAAATTGAGTATCTAAAAGGTGAAAATTAGAAGAATTGAGTACCTAGTTGTAATAATACTTGAAATAATAATAATTATTGTTAGAATTATGAATATAATAATTTGTAATTTTATTACTATATTAAATAGAGACAAGGTGGAAAATCAATTGCGGTGAATGATGTGTTGACTAGCTCGGGGCCGCGACACACTCGAGCCCGAAACATCGATGCCTCTGTTAGGAAAGAAAGGGATGTTGCACGATTGGGAAAGTCTGTTGTTGATGGTGCTTTTGATGATGTATCTGTTCCTTTTAACGACGAGCCTGATCACGGACGAGCTAGTGAGTATGAGGAGATGGAGGAGTTTGAGGGTAATTTTGATCAGAGTGGTGAGCATGATGATACGTCAGGTGTAGTGGTTGGTAGAAGGGCTAGAGATTGTAGGTTTGTCGCTTCTGACACCGGTAACACCACTAGTAGACGACGTACTAATAAACGTCAAAGAGAAGTTGATGATGATTCTTGGATAATGAAGGAGGACATGCCCGGTAGGCCCCTTGATGGTAGTGTTATTCCTAATTTCGGAGGCCATGTTGCTCGTATGATATGGGATGGAAAGGAGAAAAACTTGCTAAGGTGTCAGAATAGGGAAAGAGCATGTTACCAGCTTCAGTCATGGTTTGCCGCGCTTTCATCCGAGCAGGTTGCAGTGGTTGAGGGTACAGGCTTGTCACACTTGCCTCGGTGTATGTTTGGACACCTTGATATACCTCTTATTTGTGCATTTGTGGAGCGGTGGAAACCTAACACTAACACATTTCACTTCCCTTTTGGAGAGATGACTATTACTCTACATGATGTCTGGCACATTTTGCGCATCCCAGTGGATGGGCGTATAGTTTCTTCTCAGGCTACTAGTGAGGAGCTGCGCATACATGCTATGCAGTTGCTTGGAGTGGATAGAGATACACTTTTGGCACCTCCTACACCACACTATTATAGTGGTGCGATTTCCATTGATTCCATTATCAACATTTGCTCAAAGCGTAGTCCTGAAACGCAACTTGTGGGTTACATGTTACTATTGTTTGGTTCTACATTATTTGTAGACAAGAGTGCTAGTAGGGTACGACCAGCTGACATCCTCGAGCTCATTCATGGTGTGGATGATATTTCAGATTATGCATGGGGAGTCGCCACTTTGGCGAACTTATATCGCCAGTTAGGGATTGCGAGCAGGAGTATGTGCTCAGGCATTGTTGGTTGTTTGACATTACTACATGCTTGGATATATGAGCATTTCCCACCGTTTCGGCCTCATAGGGAGCGGTTAGTTTGTGCATCTCATGGGGCTCGTGCCTCTACTTGGAGTGTTAGAAGGAGGGCTTTTCTGATGCTCGGTTGAGATCTTTTCGTCAACGGTTAGATGAGTTTGATTCGAACATGGTAAATTATAATACTTTCTACATATTTTCATTAAACAAAGGTTAATTAATGCGACTTTATTAATGGTTTTACCTCATTCCTTGCAGGTGGTTTGGCTACCCTATGGTCCAGAGCCAGCCTCAGATGTTCCTAGGACTGTATTTACTATATGGCTTCGTTATCGAGATGTCATTGAGCCATACATGCCCGATCGTGTCTTACAGCAGTTTGGTTATGTACAGACAATTCCTATGCCTATTAACCGTCCATATTTCGCGTACAGGCCTGCAGATTCGAAATTGTATGAAGTTAAGTGGAATGTCTCGAGTGTTGAGAATGCTTGGACCTTGTATCCTAGAGGTTTTCGGTTGATTCTTGCAGAGTTCGAGCGCGCTCAGTGTTCCTCTGATGTTGTGGATTGTTATTATGATTGGTTCAATTACGTGTCACATATCTTTGTTGTTCCAGAAGTGGATACGGTGTTTCCTGCAGTTCCAGATAGGACACTCCCAGTTTATGTAAGTTAATATTAGGAAATTTTGATTTTTACCACCTTCAAATAACGACTTTGTCGAATTTACCACCTCCAAAAAAAAACATTTACTTTACCGCCTCATAAAAAAATTAAACATCAGTTTTACCACCAATCACCTCCAACTAACGGATTCCGTCCAAAAATCCGTTAGTGGGGCCTACCTTGCACACGTGTCGCCATATTATTGGTTAAGTTTTAAAAAAATAAATAAATAAACAAAATAAAAAATAAAAAATCCCCATCAAGCAACCGATGGTTGCTGCCACCGTCGGGACCCCCACCGCCGGACCGGCTACAACCAGCCCCACCACCTAACCGTTACAACCAGCCCCCACCACCTAACCGCTACCAGCCACTGTCGGGACCCACAGCCACCACACCGATTTCGACCTCAAAACCCTAGCCACCACCTAACAGCTACGACCAACCCCACCACCTAACCGCTACCACCGCACCGCACACCACAGCCGCGCCGATTTCGACCCCCTTTCCACCAATTTCCGACCTCAAAACCCTAGTCAACACCTAATAGCTACGACCAACCCACCACCTAATCGCTACCACCGCACCGCACACCACAGCCGCACCGATTTCTACCCCTTTCCACCAATTTCCGACCTCAAAACCCTAGCCACCACCTAACAGCTACGACCAACCCCACCACCATCCAAACCCAGACCAGAAACAACCGCCATCCAGACGCGAAACCACCCCGACTCAAAACCACCACCACCCACCAGAAACCACGCCAGCCAGACGCGAAACCATCGCGACTCGAAACCACCACCACCCAGACGCGAAACCCACACGAAATTCCGACCAACCGAGGTAGTTGATTTCGTTGCTGGTTGGTTGACATGGAAGATCGGGGAAGATGAAGAAGAAACGTCAAAAATGTGGGCCCTACTAACGGATTCATGGACGGAATCTGGTAGTTGGTGGTAAAATCGATTTTTTGGAAATTTTGGTGGTGGTAAAGTAAATCTTTTTTTTTTGGAGGTGGTAAATTCAATTAAGTGGTTATTTGAAGGTGGTAAAAATCAAAATACCCTTAATATTATTTTACTTTAATTTTAATTTATCATATATCTCAAGTTTTGGTACTTATTAATATCTCATTTGCAGTGGATGGGACGGATTGCTCAGGCTATTGAGGGTTGCGTCGACTGCCAGCCACGTGTTGCTGATGTGCTGAAAGAATGGGATGAGTATGCTGGATGATTATGTTTTATTGATGCACTTTATAATTTGTACCGGACGACTTGCTACTATTTTATGTTTTAGATTTGTTATGTAATTGATGGACTTGACTATGTCACTATAACTTTTAGATACTTTTATGTGCTACTTTTTATTTGTTTATTTATTTTTTGTCTAAATTGGTAAACAACTTCTACAAATAAGCATATAACATAAGCAATTTCTTAACGTTAAGCATATAAATTACATTAAAAATGTAAGAAATTGATTACAGTGAATTCCAATGTATCCTCCTCCTAAGATGATGAAGTAGATGCTGCTATTAGTTGATCCCAATGTGCCCTCCTTTCTTGATAAAGTTGCTCCCAACCAATCACACTTTGATCTCTATACATAAACCATGGATCAACAATAGGAGGTACTGGATAGTTTGGCGATAGATCAAGTCGAACATAATGGCGACCAATGTGTGTAATGGCAAATCTCAATCCGAGGTCGATCATCAGTAGACGGGGCTCGCAATGGTAGAACTGTCATACACGAGTACAACTCTCCTCGTGGGCCAACTCCATAAACCATAACTGCACAATTCCAAAAATTTGCAATTGGGTACAAATCATCAGGCAAGTCCATGTAATGGTTCGCGCCACAATGTCCACCGTTCCAGGTGATACGATCAATTGCTTGATCCAAGCCTCCGTGATACAAATGTATGTACTCTGGTCGATTGGCCTTAACCTCGTTCACAATTAAATACCGAGCTTGTATCCAATTGTCTTGCCCACCTAATAAATTAAACAACAAAATTTTAAGTAAAATCATTGGAATATAATGTGACAGATACTTTATGCAAAGGCTTACCTAAGAAAAAGTCTGCAACACATCGAAATCCACAATTCCCATCACCCATTACATTGTTCCAATCCTCCACAAATGGTTTGATGATATCGGGAAGCCCATAAAGGTAAGGAAAATCTGAAATGTCTCTTCCTCCTGATGAATAACGAATTATTAATTTTGTAGTTAACATAAACATCAAAGTATAGAAAAATAAACAAAAAATTACAAAAACATAGAGTACCCTTACCTCAACCTCCACTACGACCACCATCACCGCGTCCCCCATTACGACCACGACGCCCACGAGTACCACGTGTATACTCCCATGCACTACGATTACGTCGTGTACTATTTGATTGTGGTTTCCCTCTAGTAGTTGTGTTCCTAGGCGGCTCATTAACATCAAATTAATTGGAATGGAGATGTTCATCTATTAGGCGAGATACAGAACGCATGATTGTCGGGTCACTTCTACTCACCTCATGCATAAAACTCTCAAAAAATCGACTGTCCTGTGACTGATGATCGGGGTCATCCAATGGAGTCGGAACACAACCATCCTCACCAATCACTAGTGTCCTATAAAAGGGGTGCACTTGGTCTAAGTAGAAGTATGTCCCCGAATCAATGGCACGACGTATATCACATGCACAAGGAATCTGATGAGTCGTCTTATAAACACATCCACACCGAACATTCACCTCATGACTTAACTCTCTCATTCTTTTCTTCTCATTCACCAACAACAACATACAATGGTGGGAGGTACGTCCATTAAGATGTTGTAATGGCATAACATCATATATCCGCCCATGACTGCGTCGACTGCGCTCAAGTGATTGCTTAATCTGTGTGACCTGATCTTCAATTGCCTTGTTTACCTTGGCCCATACAGAATCGAGAGAACCTGTTGAAGTTTCCAACCACCCCTTCAAAGTTGAATGTGCAATTTCCACTCTACAATTGGTGACATTGCCGAAGTGAAGCACACCATTGGTCCAAAATTTCACAAATTTCTCCTTATGATTGTTTAACCAAGTGTCCTTCACATAAGAAATCACAGCAGGAAATGCTACATAAGATTCCTCCATTTGCCGAATCGCTCTATTATAATCATCCAATGTGGTGGCATTGAGAATTGGATTCCACCTTGTCAACCTGAAAATTTTTCCTTGATCTTTATTATTCGTTATTTTCTTAACTCTATGCTCTACATCTTTGTTAATATGCCATGTGCATAGTAAATGAGCAGTGTCAGGAAATATTTCCTGAATAGGCGACATCAAACCCAACTCACAATCGGTTATAATAGCCGTAGGCGATACATCACTACCAACCAGCAACTTTAACTTATCTTCACCCATGCATAGCTCACAGCGCTCTCATCCTTCATAAAAGCATACCCGATCAAGAAATTCATGTTGCAAGGAGTAACACCAACGAGCTCCAAAAAAGGCATTTTGTATTTGTTTGTCTTGTAAGTTGAATCAATGTCAATGACCCACGGATACGTGCGTAAGAACGCTAGAGACGTAGGATGTGCCATAAATACATGAGTCAAAACATTCGTATCCGGGTCAACCAAGCTCCAATGTGTATACTGCGACTCGATACTAAGTTCAAGGAAATATGTAACAGCAGCTCGACCATCAGCATCTTCAAGTCTCAACCGATCCCTAAAGTTGTAAATATGTCTACGATTGGGATGATCATCAGGAAACTGATTCCGTACAGCCGCTAAGATATTTTGTGGTTTCACTTTTGCATCGGTCAGGTCACGAACAAGTTGCTTCGCACCCGGACTAAGCTTGCTCATTTGTCGATTGCCTTCTTCATAGACAATTAGCTCATGGTTGTGTTTTCCATATGCATCGGGACCCAAGACAATCTGCCATCCTTCATCATCAGAAACTTTATAACCCTTGATCAAAAACTTGCAACCGCAATGTTGAGTTTTTGTCTTTGGTTGTTGAGCAACACTAAGATCTCTATTTTTCCCCCGGCCTATCTCTTGCACCACGATTGCATCTCAAATACAACCATCCGTTATGGTTGTAAGAAATCACAAGTTGAAATTTGAGTGTTAGTGCAATGTCTTTCGCCCATTGTGACAACTCTCGATACGTTGGAAATAATTGATCGATCTGAAAATGTGGGTAATAATTTACCCCATCACCGCCAAAATCTTCAATTGGATCCTATAAGAAAGAAAAATACTAAGTTAATTAAAATTAAATTTAACTACAAATTAAATTAAATTCAATTGAAAACAAATATAATTTATTTTTTTTTGCAAATTTAAACTACTAATTTTTTTTATTAAGCCATAAATTTACTAATTAAATTAAGTGTATTTTGTTATTTTTAATAATTATCAAAAATTAATAAATATAAATTACACGGATTGCTTATAAAAAAAATAAATAAATAAAGGATCCCGGTCGCATGCTATATGCGACTATACCGTGGTGTAGTCGCATATAGCATGCGACTACGCCATGGTGTAGTCACATGCTATATGCGACTACACCATGGTATAGTCGCATGCTATATGCGACTACGCCATGGTGTAGTCACATGCTATATGCGACTATACCACGGTATAGTCGCATATAGCATGCGACTATACCACGGTATAGTCGCATGCTACCATATAGCATGCGACTATACCGTGGTATATATAGTCGCATATAGCATGCGACCAGGCACATCGAAAATTGAAAAAAAAAGTCCGACATATACCTGACTCGACGGCGTCGACGGTTCATCGTCCTCGCCAAGTGCCTCCGATATGAACGCCGACCGTCGTCGACTCATTTTATATCTCGTGAGTGGTCAAGGTAAAGTCGTGGTGTATGATGGTCAAGGTGGAGTCGTGGTGGTGGACCAGTCAAGGTGAGTGATAGTATGGGTGGTGGAGCTAATGGGGAAGGTGGAACAAAGGCAAAGTTAGTAATGGTTGGATTGTTATGTAATTTTTAAAATTATAAGGGGCATGAAAGTCATTTAATACTATAACTTGAGTAATTTTATTGTGGCAAATAGCAATTCACTAATTGTATCCCTCAGTCCCTTAATACAATGTCTCTTTTGAACATTTATTCATCACATAATACTTTATCTAACGCCTCGGGGGCGTTTAATAGGAAGATCCATATTAACTGATAATTTGAGTTGACAGTTGGGTTTTGGGTTGAGTTTAACAATTTTTTATTTAAACTTATTAAGGTTATGAAAGAAATTATTCGTATATTGTGATGAGGAAGGTCATTTTTAATTTTGGATAAAATTGGTAGGGTAGTAAGTAAAGTAAGTTTATTGACTTATTGTGAGTTCAAATTCATATTAGGTAGGGTCATAATCAAGTAATTGATAGAAACGGGATTAATTGGCTAGCTAGTCAAGTATGAAAACGAAGGGATAGAATCATTTTTTTTTTTTAATCTGGTTGTGTCCAATCAAATCATATTTGATTTCAATCGACATGCCTTAATGCATTGGGTTATAAACAAGTTTAGTCTAAGATCAAGTTTTAAACATATCAAATGAACTTTGATCCATTATCGAGTTTTACTCTTTTTTTTGTTTTATTCATCTTATTTTACTATAGTGAACAAAACAGGCCGAGTACGCGCTCAAATTTATCACCGCGACTTTTCCCCTCACATCAAGTCTCTTCCCTCTACCTCATTTATCTCAAATCCTCTCATCAAAAGAACCAAAAGAAATGTAATTTCATCAATGGCAAAACCAACGCAAGAACAAACTACGCTTAACCGTTTCCGCAAGGCAGAAATTAGCCAAATTCATTAAAAAAAAAAAAAACTCAAGCACAACCTAGTTCCTTTGCATTCAAGCGTCTAATATTCATGACAACAACAAGAAAGCTTGTATTAATTAATTGTTCTAAGATCCCACAAATTATTGCGACTATAAGGTTGTCGTTGCATCAGATACCAATCTTGAAGCCCCGAGTTTCCTACGCAACACCAACATCAAGTGAGAACCAATTCACTCCTTGCTTAAATCCCTAATTGTAACACATGAGACTTGCACGGAGAGAACAAGTATCTGATGTTTTCATATTCAAATCTAACAACTATTTTTTTTCCTTGCATGTAAAATCAAATGATTAACACTCAAACAGCATGCAAGAAATTGGTACACATTGATTCTATGTTCATCCAACTCAAATTCAAGATGAGTATCAAGGCTGGGAGAATTTGATACTCACTCGTATTATCAGGTACAGAATAGGTTTGCAAACACGTCATAGTTAGTAGTGAAGATGGTGTCACAGAAGTAGCATGAACAAATCACCTACTGCTCACCTGCTGTAACTATCACTAAGACGAGCAAAGTAATACGGAATAGATATGCAAACATGTCATTGTTAGTAATGAAGATGGTTGTCACAAAAGTAGCATGAACACAAGACACAAAGCCAAAATTTAAGTTGATATATTTCTAAAAAATAACCCTGTGTCTTTCGACCTTCATAGCAAAATTGACTCAGACAACTAGCACAGCATCACAAAACTAATAAACATAGGCAAAGGTAGAAATCTGATTTACGTCCCTCTACACCTAATTTCCATTTGACTGGAAAGTAATAAAAAGATTCCGAAATGATTGATGCATTTGTCGGATCGCAGAACAGCTTTCCTACACCTCGACACCAATTCTGCCAGCCACTTGATCAAGATCACGCTGGCCACTTGATGTGATTTTCCTTCCTCTGCAAGATACACACAACATATATATCAGTACACTATCCACTAGCTTTTTAGCGAATTACTACTTGCGAGCAACATACACTACTCCTTAACATCCTTATTGTAAATGTCAAAACAGAATTAACATCAGCAACAAGCTATAAATGCGTTACTTCTACTGGTAATGTCACATGATTAAGAATAATAACTCCAGTTCAGGATTTCAACTCGAAAAAACTGATATTGTTCCTCAATTTGTAACTAATTATGCCAGAATGCGCCATGGTGCTCATAGCTACCAACTGTTACAAAATAGCTATAAGCAAAGATAACTTACCCTTTGGGGTCAATTTCAACAATGTTCACTTGCTCCAATTGCTGCAAAATGTGACGGGCAACAGATCCACTGCTCTTGCAGAAATGGGGAGGGCGGCTACCATTTCTCTTGCTTCCTCCATAAATCCTCCTAAAGCCACCAACTCCAAGTCCACCCCTCAAGTAAATTTTCCTTGCCATTGAGGCTACCAAAAAAGTCGAATTTATTAACTACAAGTACTAATATAAGCATTATAAACACAATTACACAGTCCAAGCAATGTGTTCACAGTTTTTAAAAGATGTGAAAATTTAGCAGGCACATCGCACATGTATAGCATTTATAACACTATCCTGCTATGAAAACACCATGCACATAATCATAGAACTACCATTCAGTATAAAAAGTAACTGAATGACCAACGAGAATGACAAAGCAATAACAGTTTGAAAGCCAATTTTTTTATTCACAAAGTATCTAAAGTTGTCAATCAAGAAACCAAGTATCAAGCAACATCCTACTTCACAACACCTGCCCTCGAAATGCACCTAGCAAGGTTATTCTCTTGAAATTATGAACATCTCTTTAGGTTAATACTACTAAGAATATGAACACCTGCAGAAGTCTGACAACAAAGTAGAATGCGGCTCCTCTTGCTATTCAAATGAAGATATTCACATGTTTACTAGTTTCTAACAAGAATATAGCAGGAATACTTGATTTCATACACAGATTGGAGTTCGAAGGAAAAAGATATGAAACAATGATCGACAAATGCGCTTACCAGCTCTAATGTAATACCAGTCAGGGTCATACGGTGCGAGTTCCTTGAGCTTTCCAGTCTTGACAATGTCAGTCCAGTGAGGCAACTCCATCTACACAGCACAAATCAGAAACATAAGCACCATATCAAAACCTAGCTTATTCAAATTAATTCCGACTCATAAGCAATACTCTCGTATTAGAACTAGATAAATGCAGCAACAAATAACCACAACCCTCGCCTCGATTGACATATCTCTACCTTAATTTATTTAATTTTGGGTATTATTTATTCAATTTTAAGGTATAATTCATTAAATTTTTGGACATAATCTATACATTTAAATTACTCAACTTTTCATTTACAGAACAATACTCGTTTCCAATCAAAATGTAGCTCGGATTAAACAAAATTAATCGAACCAACAGCAACTAAAACCTTAAAAAAGAAATCTTTACCAAATTTTTTATCTGTCAAATTTGTTCTTTCATATATACTCTACCCTAAAACCACAATAACGGCCCTTAATCATATACCTTTAAACCCTAAAAATCTATAAACCCTAAAATCAAACACAAACAGGGGCAAAAATCAAGCTCAAATCTTCAATTAATTTTCAAAAAAAAACCAAACATGTTAAATCTAAATCAATTAATCATAAATAATGACGAACAAAACATGAATCTAAAATCATAAAACAGAATCAAATCAAACAATCCGAAATCAATAAAGACGAAGGAAAGAGAAAGAGGGAAACCTTTCCAGAGCGCTTAAGATGAGCAGCATAAGCTTTGACGAAATCATGAGGAGAAACATCCTTCACAGTTTTCCCAGCCTCCATTGTTGATGTTGTTGTTCTTCTTCTTCTTCACTCTCTCTCTTACTCTCTCTCTCTCCTCACCCAGGAAAACGAGCGGCTGCTGCAGACGAAATGAAGGAGCGAGTTTTGTTGGCAAAGGAGATGATTTTAGGGTTTTGGTTGTGGTTATAAGACTTGTTTATATGGTCTTACCGGTATTCGCTTCATTTATTCGGGTCTTTTTTATGGTCCACTCTACATGGGTTGGCTCCATAAATTATTTGTGTGAACTCGATAAACTAGTTGTTCAGTTTTAGATGGTTAGATTTCAACGCATATTCTTAGGTGCACACTCGTGCACCTTGAAATAAGTGTAACAATAGCACAAATATGAACATTAGCTTTCTTCTCCTCTATTTTTCTCCTTTGTTTTTTATTTTATCTATCCTCTGTTTTTTAATTTTTCCCCTTTTTTACACTTTTTTGATTAAATTTGTTTCTTACAACATGAAAGTAGTTATTAAGTATGAATTTTTGTGTGAATTTCGATTTTGTGCTTTAATTTCGATTGATTAAGGTTTATATGAATCTTTGAATTCACACATTATACTCGGTTTTTTCTCCTTCCTTCTTTAATTCCTTTATCCTCTATTTTTTTCTTCTATTTTTCTCGTTTTTTCGATTTAACGATTGAATTTGTTCCTTACAATATGGAATTGGTTGTTTATCTGATTTTTTTAATTCATATGGATTGAATTTTTTTAATTTCATCTGTGTATGAATTTCATCCGATTTTCTAACATTTTTTTTTATATCAATGAACATAATCATGCAAAATATGAACATATGCATAGGTTCCCTTAAATGTGAACATTAGCTTTTCAGAAGGTGAACATAGGCATAAAACATAAGAACATATGCATTTCATAAAGTAAACATAACAATTCAAAATATAAACGTAAGCATTGGTTTCCTTAAAGTGAATATAACCATTTAAAAGGTGAACATATGCGTAAAAAAAATATGAACATATGCATTTAAGAAAGAGATCATATGCATAAACAGACTTAATGAGAATATTTATGAACAACAAATATTTACTATGAATATATACATTATGAACATATAAAAGATTATTATGAATATAAATGAATATAATGCATTTAATTGTGAACAAAGAAAATTGAAGAAATAAAAAATAATATGATTATGAAACATATGCATCATAAGTACTAAAAATATGAACATATGCATTCAAAATATGAACATATGCATTTGAAATATGAACATATGCATTGGTTCATTTTTGAATGCGTATGAACATAATTAAGCATTTTAGAAGGTGAACATATACATAAAAAATATGAACATATGAATTAAGAAAGTGAATATAAGCATTTCAGAAAGTTTACAAAAGGATTCAAAACATGAACATAAGAATTTAAAATATGAACATATGCATTTCGCAATATGAACATAAGGTATCCGTTTGATTTCACTAATTTTTTTTGACAATTCCAATAAAAATTTCGAACAATAGAGAGTATCGAATAGATATTCAAACAAAATTAAGTGATAATCATATAAATTCAAACAAAATTAAGTGAAATTTACATAAAATTGACTTTTTTTAGGAAGGATCCTTTTGATTTTGCATTTCTTCTCTAATGTCCATTAATGTTTTTACAGTTTTTTAGTGAGGAAATGAAATAGATGAGAGAGAAAGTGAATAAGAGGAGAGAGAAAATCATATAGAAGAAAAAAAGTTTTGAGTTTGGAGGTGATGTTACATTTATTGGGTGAGGGTGGGTGTATTGGGTATGAGTGGGTGTATTGTTGTTTCCGTGGTTTTTAGTTTTAGGGCTTTTTTTTAATTGAGCTGTGTGTAATTGGGCTTTTGAGCTACATTGTTATACCTATCTAAGGTGCACAAGGGTGCACCTTAGACTAATTCAGATTTCAGGCCCCTTTCAATTGTTATTGCGGGGGATCGAACAAGCAGCTTTTCTTACCACCACTGTACTAACATCCAATTGTTAATATTATTTGACTTGTAGGTAGAGGTGATCAAGTTGAGTTCGGCTCATTGGCCCGGCCTGACCTGGTTCGATTTTGGGCGGGCTTTGGACAACTATTTCCGGCCCGACTCCATTTTTTTAAAAAAATTTGGGTAGGCTTGAGAAATCAATTTTTTGCAATTTTAGTTTTTTTTTTTGTTGCTCGGCCCTAAATTGGCCGAAAAAACCCGCTTGGCCCGTCTATTTGGGCGGGTTTAGGCACACATTTTTTCGGCCCAAAGTTTGGCCCGACCCAACCGTTAAATGGGCATATTTTTAAAACCTTGGCTCGGCCCGAACACGGCCTAGCCCACCCAATGATCACCTCTACTTGTAGGCCTTTTTAGTTGGGACGAATTGAGAGGAAAAGAAAAGAAAGGTAAAGAGAAATATATTACCTTTGTTTCACTTTTTTTTTTTTGCAACTTTAAAGGGTGCACGGGCTCTTAAGCAAAATTTGTTCGTGAGTGTAAGATAGAAAGATAAAATTAGGAATGTATGTAATGAGAAGAGAGATCGAGAATAACCTAAAAAAGTAATACATTAGTTGCAAATAATGTGCAACATTTATTTTTGGCAAAAGTTGTAAAAAATATAAAACGGATGTAGTAGGTTCCATTGTTTGTTTCCAAAAATAAAATGAGATTTGCTAGGAAATGAAGGAAAATGGAAGGAAAGCCTCCTTCACAAAATCTTCCCTTTCCTTTCCTCTCAAAACTAGAGGAATTTGAGAGGAAGAAAAGAATTAAATATATCAAGATTAAAATTAGTTTTTCCTTCCTTTACTAATATCATACCAAATACTTATCTCACCTTTTCCTTCCTTTACTCAAACCACAAAGTTGTAGTGTCATACTCGTGACCATTAGCTAAATTGATTACCTAGTATCTAATTATCTACACATGCACATGAATGTACATAAGACTCAAATATGCACCTTAGTTCCGGGAGATTATTTTGACCACCATTATAACTATATCGACATCAAAATAGACATTTCAAGTTTCTATTAACAAGTTTATTAGTTTTTGCATATATATATTATTGGTTCCATCATACAATGGTATGCTTAAAAAAAATATAATGATATCACCAAAATTGTTCAATATAATACATATTTTGAATGTTAATAATTGATAATATTTGTATAGATTTTCAATCAATATCATAATTCTAATATAAGTTTATTTTTTTTCTTTCACTTCCTCCCTCTCATCTTTACAAAATATATAAAATTCCGCAAGTTTTTAAATGCTACAATTAGGGATGTTAACGGGCAGGGTGGATGTTGGCTTTCCAGTCCCCATTCCCGCTTAACAGCCTCATCTCATTCCCATCTCCATAGCGGGTCCAAAATTCATTTTCATCCCCAAATTAGCACCAATCCCCACCCTCTCCTACTTAATTGACCCACTAACATCCATAATTGCAACTAAAAATAAACGGAGTAAAATAATTTTTTTTTTAAAAAAACTTACCAACATCTTTAGGATGAGTATTATAAAGCACATCAATATCATGTAATCAACATTTTAAAAAATTAAAATTTATTGTTACATTTTGTTTATAATGCAATATAAATATAATAAAATGTATATTATTTCCCAAAAAAAAACAAAAACTACATATAGTACAATTTTTGCAACAAAATCGTTTATAAATTAAAAAAGAAATTTTAAATTAGGTGGAGTGATACTTTAACTCTTTTTTTTCACCTTATTTTTGTTGAACTAAAATTATTTTTTGTAACCTAAATTTTTTTTGATAGTATTGTGTGGATATAACATGATTTCGTTTTTTTTTTTTTTTTTAACGCAAACTTATACCTAATTATTATTATTATTAAATCGTAAGTAAAGGAGCCATAGCATGATGTCACATGCTTAAGAGTCTTCGTCACATAATAATGCTACTAATTTAAGTTAAGTGAGGAAAGTTTAATGGCACATAGCCACATATAAGGAAGTAGGTAAGAGAAAGGTTTATGAAAGGATGTTTTATTAATGCTTGATATAGCTTACAATGGCTTGGATGATGCAAAAATCAGGGAGAGACTCTATTTATAGTCCTCTTTACAACCTAAAACATTCTACTCTAGAGTGTTTTTAACCTCCCCAAATGGAGGGTTTTAGACGCACTTAGTCCTAAAAGGTTCTACACCATTGTAAGTATACAATTTTTATATACAAGATTCCTGAGAGTTCTTTACAATTCTTACACGTACTTAGAGTATGTACAAGATTACCCTAGGAAGGTCTAGAAGCTTCATTCCGACATTTCTCAAACCTTAGCGCAATTTAGACATTTGGACCTCGTATCTGATCCAAAATCCCACTTCACCATGATAATCATTGCTCGTAAATCAATGAACCTTAAAGTTTGGGCCTATTTGGATTTCATTTGGGCCCTCAAACGACCCATCATTATGTTATTGCCAATGTGGTACGTGGTCATTAAAGAAATTACCTTTGTGCAAAATAAAGTTTTATAAGGGTAAGAGATTGTCTGATACCTGGGCATCTCCCTTGGCCTCGATTGTTACCTACCATTTATACGACCACATTAACAATTTAACACTGTAAAAGGTGTGGGGTTTAAATCGTGACATGAGCTACACAATCTATCTATCCATAATACGGAGTATTATTAAAACTCCCTCTGTCCCCAATCGTTTGCCCCAAAATATAAATCTACTTTATTAAGGTTTTGGACAAAAAATGGTGCACATGGGTTGACACAAATATCAATGAGGAGAGAGATAGAGAGAGTGCAAGTGGGAAAATATGCCAAAAGTAGTATGGGGCAATCTTTTGGGGACACCTTAAAAAGAAAAGTGGAGCAAACAATTAGGGACAGAGGGAGTAACATGTTACTGACATGTGTCATCCTTTATTTATTATGACTTGACGCCACATGAGTAGTGACATGAAATATATATATATATATATTTTTAACGCCTTTTAATATATAGTATAGATAAATCTTTATTTTATACAAGTATTTTTTTTTGGAAAATTTGGATTTTGGTACCTCGAAAATGGGGGTAATTGAATTTTAGTACCCATCTAAAATTTTATTTTAAATTGGTACCTAAAAAATGACTAAACTATAGATTTCAGTACCTCC